AGTTCAAAGAACATAAATAAAAAAAGGAAAAATTAGGCCCAATACCCTTAAAAAATAAGATATTAGATTAGTACCTTAAAACTAATTTAAAATATAATCCCCGTATTAATTACGCCCAAAATCTCCGGTGACCATTTTTTTTACCCTAAATTCTTATTTCTCTGTCAATGCTCTTGTGAAACCCATCAGAAGACAAAAAAACTCAAGTGTAGTGTGAGAATATATGGTGGTTTTAGAGAGAGAGAGAAGGGGATTTGAGGTATTTGAGCAACTACCTCACCACCATGAGGTCACTGGATGAGAAGTAGAAACACTAATTTTTGACAAGCTTTACAAATTTGTGGGAAACAATCGGCAAAAAGTTATGATGGAAAACCCTATTAGGAAGGACCTGAAGCTTGCGCCTCAAGAACCGGTGCCTCTACGCATTTGAATCATCAGTCAAATGGCCACAAACATCAAGCTGGAGAAATTGGTGTCAATGGATCCGAATGGGATTGTGATGCATCACCATGCTGATATTGGGGAGTACTTGAGAATGGAGGATGAACTCTAAGTGATAGTTCTGATGGGAATTTAGAAGAATTTTGATAAATGGGTTGTTGTCAATTTTTTTTAGTGAAGACGATTTTGCCTATAATTTCTGTTAATGTTATACTTGTTTTACTTTTCAATTTTGGTTGAATATTATTTGTATTGAATTGGTTTTCATCTTATGAAATACTACTGCACTTAATTTTACACAATATTTTTTACTTCCAAAATACTTTTCACATGATTTTTCAAAAGATGTTTAATTTTAAGGGTATTTTTGTAAGTTGCCCAATTAAAAATAGGGAAAATTAGGTCCAATGCCCTCTTAAATTAACTAAATTGAATAATGAGGAAATTATACAAAACCATATTTTTAAAAATTCAATTTCAAATTTCAGATCAAAGGTTTAAATTTTTAAAAATCAAACATTTTATTTTAAATATTAATTGTACAATTTTCATCCCAAACCCTAATCAATTTCATTTTAATTTTCCTCATCCTTCTCTCTCTCTCTACCTTTTCTGCGCAACAGCTCAAGCAAATCGGGATCTCTGGGCGCAAGGCTAGCTATTTATATGACCTCACTAATAAGTATAATTCTAAGATTCTGTCACATGAATCAGTGGTGAAAATGGATGACAGGCTACTATTCACGATGCTTTCAATGGTGAAAGGGATAGGTTCCTGGTGAGTCCACATGCTCATGATATTTTCACTGCACCGGACGGATGTGTTGCATGTGTGTGATTTAGGGGTTAGGAAAGGTGTGCAGTTGTTGTACAGTTTAGAGGATTTGCCTAGGCCTTACAGATGGAACAGTTGTGTGAGAAGTGGAAGCCGTACAGGTCAGTTGGGGCGTGGTACATGTGGCGGTTTATTGAGGGGAAGTGGAGCCAGTGGTTCATGTAGTGGTGGCGTTGGTGGAGGCAGTTAAATTTTGTTGCTTGCGATTTGATGTTTGGGCGGTGATTTTATTGATTTTTGGACGGCGATTTTGTTGATTTTTGGGAGGCGATATGGTGTTCAGGCGATAGTGTTGGATCTTGTTGGTGCGGTGGTGACGGTGGTTTTGTTGGTTGTTGTGGTGACGAGGTGGTGGTGTTGGTGGATTTGAAATTGAAATTTTGTTGGAGGTGGTCGGCGACGATGATGGTAGGGTTGAGGATTTTTATTGGTTGTAGGATGGGTGTGGAGGTGAGGTGGAGGTGGTCCAGCGATGGGGTTTCGGTTGTCATGCTGTTGATGGTAGTCACAAGTGTTGGTGATGGTCACAAGTGTTGTGGTGGTCACAGATTATTTGATTATTTGTGACCATTAAATTGAATAATTTGTGACCGATAAACAAATTGTGACCAATGAAAAAGATAAATTGTGACCAAAAAATAATGTGTGGCATAAAAAATCGTTAATTTATGACCGATAATTTGATAATTTGTGACTTATGACCTATAAATATATTGTGATATTTCAATTTTTGATTTGTGACCGATGAACAAATTGTAACTTATAATTTTTTTGAATTGTGACATTAAAATAATTTTTGATATATAAAATTTGTGATTTGTGACCAATAATAATACGTGACTTATTAAATTTATAAATTTGTGACCAATGAAAAAATTGTGACCTATAAAATTTCTGATTTATGATTGTGAAAAAAATTGTGATTTATAAAAAAAATTTATTGTGATCGAGATATAATTTGTGACTAATTAATTTATAATTTGTGACCAAATTATAGAGAATTGTGACATTAATATATTTNCCTTTTTAAAATTAATTAAACCATTCAACCCGTAATTAATACGTCCTAAACCTAAAATCCAATCTTCATTGAGTACAAACCCTCTCCTCAACCCCGAGTAAAAATGCTCTCCTCTCCTCACGATTTTTCTCCTTCCATTTTCCGTCGCTTTCGTCTATGTCCATTACAATATCTCTGTCAAGAAAATCCTATGATACAAAACTAACAACCTACAATCATCTGAAAGAGCATGATGCAAAATATCTTGATGCAACAATGAAGGTTATTTTACCACCGAAAGCTGCGAACACCTTCGCTAGCCGTTGTGGCTGTTCCCTGCAATTTTCATTATAGAATCTTCGAGCCGCCTTGGAGTACTTCGGTTCAGCCATCGAAGTTGGTTGCTTGGCTCTGTTAGAATTGTTATTGATATTATTATTATTATTATTATTATTGTTGTTGTTGTTGTTGTTGTTGTTGTTGTTATTATCTTTTTTCTTCTTTTTCTGAGTATTAGCATGGGCTATGGCCTGAATGAGGCACGCGGGAGGCGTGGTTTGGAGAGTGAGGTTCCCTTTCTCGTCGTTGACAATCCATGGGATGAATAGCTGGTCTCCAAGTTCTGAACTCAATGATTTAGGAGATTCCGAGTTCGGAGAAGGGGTTTGTCGTAATTTGGATTCCGATTTGAGTTTGGGTTTTGACAGGGCAAATTTGATTGTAAATTCTGTGGCGGTCGAGAAAGAAGAGCATGTAATGAGGGTGCGGAGGAGGCAGTGCGCGATGTGGGACAGGAAAGTGGGCCTAGAAAGGCGGAGGGTGGTGAAAACACAGGTAGCCGCCGCCATCTGCGGTGGTGATCCCGTTGAGTGTTGAAGATAATTTCACGTCATTTTTTTTAATTTCGTCATTTTGAGTGTTTGTCACTTTTTAAAAAAAAATTTGTCACTTTTTTTTTAATTTTGTCACTTTTTGAGTGTTTGTCACTTTTTTTTATTGTTTATCACTTTTTTTAGTCACTTTCTTGATTTCTATCACATTTTTTAAGTGATGAACATCAATTTTTAATAAAAGTGACATTGTATGTCATTTTTAATTAAAAAAGTGACACTTAACTTTAAAAAGTGACAGCGAGTCACTTTTTCAGTGTCACTTTTTTGTTTACTCTGTGACAATTGATTTTATACAGTATTTTTTACTTTCAAAATATGTTTCATATAATTTTTCAAAAGACTTTTAATTTTAAGGGTATTTTTGTAAGTTGCCCTAAAATAAAATCATACACAATCCAGAGATGTAGATTACAAAATAAAGATAATGAGTACATTAATATAAATATCCAGGCCCAGCCTTAGCCCAAGGCAAACTAAGCTATTGCCTTAGGTCTCAAGATCTGAAGGACCTCAAAAAAAAAAAAAAAAAAAAAAAAAAAATTCCAATAACCTAATAAAAATTTTCTTTTATATTTCTTTGAATTGGGTCATTTAGTCCTTTATAAAGTAACAACAAAACAATAAAATAGGACTAAATAAGAAGCCCAAAGTACTTGGACACTTAACCTACATTCTCGATTTAAGGAATAAAATGGACATACAAGTAAACTATTACCGAGTGCTATTTTTTTGTGAAAATTACATCATACCAGAATTTTAAATTATTAATAATTATATTATAATATTAAATATACATATTCATTCTACCTAACCATACACACAAAACCCTAATTATTTCATCTTCAGCATTTTCTATTTTCTCTCTCTATCCCTCCCTCTCTCTACTCTACCCCACTATCGCCCGTTTTCTCTCCTTTCCTCTCTCTATCCCACGCTCTCTCTACTCTACCTCCCCTTCTCTTTACCTTACTGTCGTCGCTAGAGAAACAGACGCCGGAGCAGCGATGCTCGAGATCACGCATTGCCGTCGGCAGCGATCTGCCTGCCTTCACTCGCAACCTATCAATCTGTTGCATAGTCGCTGCGACGGCTTCATCCATGCAGCGATCTGCGAAGCACCGCATGGTGGTGGCAGTTCAATGATGTTGGTTGTGGTGAGGGCTGTGGCGAGGAATGAAAAAAACGATGGTGTGGTTTGAAGGGATTTGTGGTGCCGACGATGATGCCTGTCAATGGGATGCAGTGGTAGTTCACGACTGGGGATTGTGGTGGCGGCGATGGTGGTTACTGTGGGGTTTGGAGAAGGAAGATGCAACGTTGAATATGGGTCAGCTAATGAGGTAGGCTGGGTATGGGCTGTAGTGGGGTTTTGGCTACTGGAGTATTTTTGAAAGTGGATGTGGTTTTGTTGGCGGCGACGACGACGATAGTGGTGGTGGTTGCGACGGCGATGAGTTTGTCGTAGTGGTGGTGGAATGACGTGACGATGTGGTGGTATTTTTCTGCGAGTTGATTAGTTTGAGGTGGTTGTGTTCCTGTCGGGAGGTGGTTCTGGCGACGAAAGTGGTGATAATGCTGCTGGAGGTAGTGGTGCAGTGGTGGACACAGGTGTTGGTTGTGGTCACAAATTTTTGGTTGATTGTGACCATTAAATTAGTTAATCTGTAACCAATAAAAAGATAAATTGTGATCAAGAAATAACGTGTGACCTAAAAAATTTTAATTTGTAACCGATAATTTAACAATTTATGACTGTCTATTAAGTTGTGACTTATAATATTTGTGATTTGTAACCGATAAATAAATTGTAATGTATAAATTTTTTATTTGTGACCGATAAACAAATTGTGACCTATATAATTTCTGAATTGTACCGTAAAATAATTTGTAACATATGAAATTTCTATTTATGGCCTAAATATAATATGACATTAAATTGATAGATTTGTGACCGATGAATAAATTAGGACGTATAAAGTTTTGATTTGTGACCGATGAATAAATTGTAACGTATAAAATTTTTAAATTGTAATTGTAAAATAATTTGTGACATAAAAATTGTGATTTGTCATCAATTATATGGAATCTGTGACCAAATTATATGAAATTGTGAGCTTAATATATTTGATTAATAAAATATATATTTAATTAATTAATTTATAAATAAAATTTAAAAAACTCTGAGATTTAAAATTTTAAATATAATCTCTTAAATTTGAAATTGGTAAAACCAAGTCTCTTAGTTATGAAATCTTTCCCCCTTTTTTTATCTACCAAAATCTAGAAAAAGTCAATGCAAAAATAAATAAATAAATATTCCCTATATTTTTTTTTGCTAACCTTATAAAGTTTCTTTAAAATTTATAAATTAATTTTTATGAAAGTTAAAAATAAGTTATTTATTATAAAAGTGTTCATTTCATTTATATTTAAGAGTCGCGTAACAATTTTTCTCCTTGGGACTCATAATTCTGAGGACGGGGCCTATAAATATCTTATTGTTACATCTAGTTTATGCTCATCATGCGCATTATGAAGTATCCAGTAGACTTATCATCAAGCATGTAATTGTTACTCAAGGATGATCATGCTGAGTATTCTCTATATCGATGTGCTCAAATATTTGGTATATGCTGAGTCACGACCCATGGAAGAAGGTGGTTGAAATTGTTGCACATTGATATTGAATTCATTTGTTGCTATTCTCGAACTAAAATAGAATCGGGATCACAGGTTCCTGTCTGGTTCCCAAAAAATAAAATTAGGAACCTGAACCTAGAATCAATAATCGATTAGGTTCAGTTCAATTCTTTGTTCCTAAACCAGAACCGTGAGTACCCGAGTGGAACCGATTATTATTATTATTTTTTAAATTCTTTTTATATAAAATTTATAAGTTGGGTAAAAAAAAAAATCTAAAAATCCTAATATGGTAGTAATTATTCTAAAATTTTAGATTCTAACCCTACGAAATCAAGATTAGCTTCTACTTTTTTGAACATCGCCTGACATCAGATTATTCTAGTACATAAAAATCTTTACAATTTTAGGTTCTGTATGAATCAAAAAGTTCAAATTAGATTGAGACGTAAATTGATGAATCAGAATATTCATTTTTTACCATTCGAGCTTTTTACATTTTTGTATTGTTTACAAATTTAAGTAATTTTTTTATAACATGTGGCAATTGAACTAAATATATTCATAATTTGAGATGTTGTGTACCTTTTTGGTTATCTTGAGTTTGAGATTCTCATTTGAAATATAATTTTTTTTCTTTTTTATTTGAAGAGAACGAGTTTAATATGTGGACTGCAATTTCTTGATACTATATATTTTATATCTAATTAGTATTTTTTATATAAGTTTGGTTTAAGAGTAGAAGAATTTAATTATTTCTTGTAATTAAATTATAGGCTCTAGCATGTGTCACTCTTAATGATCGAAAAAAATTTATTAAGAAAAAATAATTTCTTCTAAAATTGTATATTAATTTTTGACATTTTAATTTTCTCCTCTTTTCGTGATTTTTAGTCTCCGTTATTTTTGTTGACATCCGACTTGTGACCTAATTAAATCCGTTTGTTATATGCACTTAGCTCATGTTAAATTAAGGTCGGATCTGCAAGGTTAGCTCGTACTTAGGACCGTCGTGGCCTGAGAGGACATAATGATTGTAGATTCCTTACACACTGTCAAAACATTCAATCAATATTCAATCAATTAATGACATTCAAAAGGATTTACGTCAGGGCCCACCAATTCTACCAATCATATACTATAGCTTCATTTTCTAATCAGTTCATTAATTACTGGGGACCCCATTTAAGGTCGACTTCATGATAACTTGATGGAGCCGGCCTCAGCAATCAATGGGGATATGTCATTGGCGTACCTTCACAATTCGGTATTGTAAGTTGATTTGAGAGCAACCAATCAGGACTTGAGCCATTGGTACAGGTTCCCAGCTCGATACTGTTGTTGACAAGACAAAAATATGAAAGATATAGGCTCATCATTTCCTGTAAAAAGGAGGACAATATCCTTAGGGAAAGGAGGGGGAAGAAGCCCAACAATTTCATGTTTCAAATATTTCTTTTTGATAAAAAAAAAACACTTGTTGTTGGCAAGTAATTATTAATAAAATTCATTATTTACACTTGAAGTTGGCTTGAATTTTTTTATCAATAAAATTCATTATTTACACTTGAAGTTGGCTTGAATTTTGTTTATACAATTTTCGACATCAACAATTTTGCTTTTTGAAGATTCTTTGCTAAATTTTATCAGTATCTTTGCTCCTACAATACGAGATTTTGAAGATGAAGTTCCTCAATATATATGGTTAGTGTCGTTTTTCATCTCAAAATCAATCACTGCCAAAAATTTGTTACCTGCTATTGTTCGATTTTTTGTTTCTCATGTGCATGCATGTTGATTGCTGTAGGTTTTGATATAGTTCTAATAATAATTTATTTTCGCGAACATGCTGCTGAATATATGGCCTACGTCACAATAGCAATTCACAGTGAGCATTTTTTTCGATAAGTCAATTAATGTAAAATATGAACATGTTACAATGATGTTCTTGGATTATGTGAAGCCTTCTTAGGAATTGGTTTGAACCATTTTAATATGTATGTGGATATTGTGGACATCTGAACATCTACTATAGGAGGCAGATAGGTAGTTCGGGTCGTGTTTTGACTAGATTACAGAGTGAATCAAATGTGAAGAAGATGTTGAAAGACATCAGAGGGCAGAGATTAGTGGAGATATATGTGGTAGTACTTAACCGTATAAAGAACCCATGATTGATGATCTCGTGATTTGTGCACAAAATGAGGTTAAGAGGAGATGGGTGAGTATACTTGTGAATGATGCTCCGTCCTGGTAGTAGATGGAATCGTGGAAAGGTGGTGAAATAGATCGATATCGGTGATTATTTACAACAAAATGTAGAGGTGGTCACAGATTGATGAA